CACTTAGTGTTCGCGTTACGTTTGAAAGCGATTTAAGTATTTACAACCATTTCCATTCGCTTATAGAAATCATAACCATCGTCTTGTATGTAATACAAATGTAGGTGAAACACATCTTAAACGTTCACCGCGACTAATATAAATGTAATATAAATGTATGCTGTTCATTGTAAGCTGCTTTGGCAATCATTTTTATTTACGTATTTAAACGCAGTCAAGTCAAACGAACAATCATAATTACAATAATTCACAGCCTTGAGGCGGTATTAAATTAACATTGAAATATGTCAACAAAATATATGAATATTATCGAATCTGATCAAGAACAGGTGGATAGTATATATATAGATAAGCAATTTAATTTTTTAATATTATAAATCAAGCCACAATAACAAAGTTGTTGGATTTTAGTATTTTAACAAATATTTACATAAAGAAGGTGCTTAATATAATGCTGCGCATTTTTTATAGAAATAAATATTATATAGTATAATTTGAAACATATGAAGATATTTATATCAACATTTTATAAATTAGTCAGTTTTAAGAATCTGAATATGTTTTTGATATTGTCCGAATCTGGACATAGTTTTTCATGTACATGATATAAATTTGTATAAACTATATTATATTAAATTATATCGGCGTGATTCAATAACTCTCTGATAGATCGTGTATGTAATAATAAAAATGTATCATTTCATTTCAAAAAATTAAAAAATAAAACTATGACTGATGATAGTTGAACGAAATATAATTGAAAATCATTTTTTTTATAAAAATTACGTACATATATTGGTTTTGTGTATATTTTTAAGTATTAACGCATATATTTACGTATATTTTCTTCGTTAACCGTGAATTATTCATTGACAAACCAACAAAGAATTATATTATTAAACGGTATAAAAGTATTGGAGTCTATGAAAAAAAATTATTACGTATTTCAACTGATAATTGTGTTAAAACAAATATGTTCACTTTCTTAAGAAAATTTTTAACTGATAAATTGAATGTGTTATATTGCATACTCGAGAAGGTTTTGTCGAGAATAAAATATTGCTTTTTTGAGAATTATAAGTAATAAATTGCAAATAAATTGAAACCAATACATTTTCCAAATTAATGATACTTATAAAATAAAATTACAAGTGATATATTTTACATTTAATACAATACGAAAATTCTATACACGCTGTATTAGTATTTTTATCAGTAATTGATTCTCAAAACAAGTAAATATACCAAGTATTCAGTTATTTACATTATATTATGAATAAAATTTGTTGAATTTACACAGTTCTTTTAGAAAGTTTTCCAGTAATTATTTTATAAAACACATTTTCAAGAAGCCATATCTTCTGAAGATAATTATGATTAGCGATAGTAAAATGTGATATACACAAATTATGTTAATATTTCTCTTGTTTAAAAATGAAATGTAGTGGTCATGTGTTATATGAAATGCAACCGCGAATATTTAATATCAAAACAAATTGTTGTAGGAAAAATAAAACACTTTATAATATGCTTGGGTATTAATTTGTTTATTTAATAAAAAAATAAAATAATAACTATTGTAATAGCCTTATGATACTCCCAGGCGTAATTGTGATAGTTATAATTTTTATGAGTCATATGACTGTTATTCGAGGTACCACTGGTTGGTAAAAATTAATGTAAATTAATACGTGTTACCATTATGACGATGATGACAAATAGACGGTTCAGAAATTTGATTATTTTATACTAATAATTCTGTAGCAGTTAAACAATACAACTACGGTCGTTTTGTCTACTAAAGTATATATTTTAATAGTTTTTAATTATTTATTTATTTTTTTTTTTGATAGGTTTTTCTATTCTCATTAATCGTTCGTGCCGATACACGAATAATGTGTTCAAAGGTTACACACGTGATTTTCTCTCAGGATTCTTATAATAAACAACTGATTGCTTCCACACGTATTCGACTAAGAAAAATGGCCAACATTAGATTTACCTTTTCCGATCTTTTCTAAGAAAAAAATCTAAAATTAAATTAAATTAAAAATACTTCTGTACAATACCATTATTAAACCTCTTTGATTCTATGATAATCAAATCTGAGGCTATTAAACTATTAAGCATTCGTTCCATTTGGTAATTAAAATATAATTCTTCATATTATTACCTTAGATTAAGAATATAAGATAATTACCGATGCCCCTAATATATAACAAACCAATTTCTATGATATACAATTAAAAACTAAACGAACTTATGAAACTCCTTTACAATAACGCTTTCATATTAAAGTAATATCGAATATTAACTTAGCATAATGTTTAAGCTATATTTTCAAACCTTATTCCAGTATGCCTTCCTTGTGTTACTATTTTATGGTGAATTATTAATTAATCTGACAAAACAAATTTATAAAAAATTATGCCTATTTAACCTACTCTTATTTTACGCTTGGGGTGTTACCAATAAATGACTAATCGTATCTTGCGCGATTCGTATTATGAATGTGTAATTATAATTGTTATCCTAATGATTGATACAGATTTATACGTTTTTAGACTATCTTATATCTTTTGAAAATCAAGTTGGAATAAGTTACTTCTACGCACGTACAAAACTAAATAGCCTAAAGCAACCTAGATGAGGCTAGTTTTAATATTTACGTTTGTTCTTACAAATGAATCATTGAAATCGTGTCGCTGTGAGAATTATCGAAATAATCGATTCTTGCCTATTGATAGTGTACTATCAGTATGTTGGGCGGATAGGCAACAGTTGTACAGAGAAAATTTGTTGTTGTATTAGATCTGTCTGAAACAAAGTTCATGATTTTATGAGAATTTAAAAAATATTTTACGCTACATGGATGCATTACGAGCGCTGAGAATGACCCGAAGTAGACGAAAGTGTAGGTACGAAAGCCCGTAAAATCTCGAGAACCTTTGTGTTTTTGTGTGACCCTTAGGTTGCAATGGTAGTTCTTGAAAATATTGAAAATGAGTTTTTGGTATTATAGTTATACATGATTAAAGACGTTGTTATACAAAAAAAAAAATGAAATTGGAAAAGTGACCAACGTGATAAGTACGCAACAAATTGTTGGAAACAAGTTAATTTTAAATTGCACCATTTGTTTTTGAGCGAAAATTGATAGTTTTACACGAATTATTTATCGATTTTTGTAAAATTTTTAAACTATAACATATATATTTTGTATGACAATTTCTAGTACACGTGTAACCAAGTTCAAATTTATCATACGAATATGTGAGCTCCTAAGAAGTTAAAATGTCGGGTCTTCGGGAAACGATTATTTTAGTTGTCATGGGGCCCCTATGCAGGTGCCTACCTCGTCTATGATAGGTAAATTGGCTCTGCGTCTGACTGTCGTTACGAATTCGTTACAAATATTCACTCGATGAGCCCCGTGTACAATTTTGCTATTATTGTTGTTTTTATGATAATTATCAATGCTGTCTTGTAATTCCGAAACGATTTTAGTTTCGCAGCATATTGATAATCGGACAATGACGACGCATGCAGTTTACGCGGATTAAATGCGTGGCGCACGGCCGTGCTAAAAACTTCACGCGATCATGACCGATTGACGACGACTTACCCCTTCGATCTGGAATGACATGCGTGCTCTCGTGTCGAATGGCTTACTGAATCACAATTTAGATCAGCGGTTCCATAACTTTTTCGCGTTACGCATCCCCGAAATAAAATCAATCGCGCCTCCAATAGAACATTTTTTATTATTTTATTATAAGTAAATTGTCGATTAAATAATAAATATATGGCAATGCAATGTACAATATAAATATTCGTCTTACGCCTTCCCTAACAATTGCTTGCATCTTCCAAGAGAGGCATGCCTCACAGTTTGCAAAACGTTGACTTAGATAATAATATAAATAAAATACGAGTAGATGGGCATTACCGAAAATAATGTGCGGCCGAAGAGAGAGCATGTTACCATTATTCTCAGTATATATTAACAAATCCAGTGAAATTAACATGTTTATTAAAGTTTTCATTGATTTTTAACCTGGATATTTTTCTGGAAGGATGTTCTCTGAAATATTTATTGTTTATGGTTTGGCATTTTTAAGTATCCTTAGATAATTACTCTATAATTAGATTTGATTATTTATATATAATTACATAAACACACTAACACAACAAAAATATACAAAAAAAATTACTCATAAAACCAAAATTACCAAATGGTAAAAGTGCAAGACGAATATCGGCAGCCCTATGAAGCAAAATGTTATATGCAATTGGAGGTATTTTATATCAATAAGGTAATGTTCAACAAACATTTTTGCCTTTCGAATATCATTTGTTTCAAAAGCATCTGTGTTTATTACAAATTTAATTGCCATTATAAACAGTTTTTTAATAGTACCACTGTCATATTAATGTTTAATTATCACACTCTATATCCCGCTGATATTACATTCGGTAGACGAACAATGTATTACAGATATCTTCTGCACAATAAAAGTCTACCGATTATTCTATGTATCACAGAATGTCAAATCTGATCTATGGATTACCTCAATCGAGTTTTAGCACTTGTAATTGAACAAATATAGACGTATGATAATTGATCGGCGTAAGGAACTGAACTATAACGAGATAAATCGTTGAATTTATAGAACTTGAATGGTATCGTACATGCCAATCGAAGGGTATTATCATTTTGTAACTTTATACCTATATAGGATTTCGTTCCAAAATTGCTTGATTTTTTTATGATATCTTATAATACTGATGAAGGGAAAAACGCTAAATCCTGCTGTATTTGATTGTTAATTAGTTTCTTCATTCTATTAACTAATGATCAACATCATAAAATGTTACGCAATAACTTTTTTACAGCAAACGCTTGTCGTATCTCTCTACAATAATGTAGCCACCTATGTACATGATACATACATCTTATACACATAATATAATGTTGAATTTTTTTTTTTGCGTTTCAGCCGACGACGACGGGCTACAGCGGCAACAAAACGATCGCAAACGCCAATAACACGAGCGGCGACGGGCAACTGGACGGCAATGGGTACAGCGACCAGAACGGCAAGCCCAGATTCATAGCAGTTACCCGGTTGGAGGACGTACAGGCCGTCCGGTGCGCAGAGTTCCATCCACATGGTTCCGTGTACGCGGTCGGATCCAATTCTAAAACTCTCCGGATATGCGCTTATCCAAAAGTGACGGACATCAGGTCAGTGGCTTTCAGAGACTTTATCGTCGTATTTTAGAGATATGGCCATGTAGGGTATAATCATATATTTAGTTAATATATGTATAGAAAGAGACAGTGGCGTATACAGAAAATATTTTTGGGAGGGGCTACTATGGACAGAGTTAAATTACCACTGCTCTATAAGAATTACTAACAAGACACAGTAGGTACTTATCTACATTTCATTTACAGAATGTCCCAAAGCGATTTGACGTTGGACGCAAATTCTAAATAAGCATAAAGCTTCATTAAAATAATATATGTTTAAAATAATTTTCAACTGTTTTAAAACATTTGGGGGAGGCTGTAGTCCACTAACCCCCTCCCCTATATACGCCACTGGAAAGAGATTAATGCTCGTCAAGACCTTCTCGTCTCTGTAGTTTAATTCGATCCACACAATTTCTACACATTATTTGTGTGCGTTAACCGATGACAAACAGACTCGCGCAGGGGCGTAACTAGGATATTTCTTTTGGGTAGGCCCACTATACAATTACTCACCGACAGAAATGGGAAGTTCTCCGATTTTTTTCCCTACCATGATTTCAAAGTTGTCAATGATTCTTATTTATCTGTCAATTCTTATAAATAATTGAATAATAAATAACAAATTAAACGAAAAAATAAATAGATAATTTCAAAAAATGCAATTTTTATTTAAGTACCTAAATATGAGAGTCTTATAATAATTATTGATTATTATTGATTGATTATTATTATTGATTATAATTATTATTAATTATATTAATAATAATATAATTTATAATACAATTATAAATATTTATTAATATACGCATTTTTAATTTATTCTCAAAGTAAAAATTCTAATCTTTTTGACAGTAAACTCGTCTATAACAGCTTATGGGTTATCCATAAATTTTCAACTTATTTTCCTTTCTAAATATTATTGGTTTTTTTCTAGAAAAAATCTGGATAGGCTCGGGCCTACCAGGCCTACCTACTGGCTACGCCCCTGGACTCGCGGTGCCCTTTTATCTATATCGTCGACTATTTGCTGTAAGCGACACTTGCTATCTAGCGTTGTAGATACTGACGCTCTGTTGAATCCATAAATAGTCTTCATTATAGTGCATCGTAATTGTATAAAATCGATGATCAAACTTTGATGTAGGTGACATTCTTGTTAATTGAGTGAGCAGTAAGCGACGTAATAATTTTGCGTTAAGCGCCCAATAATTTTTTAACAATGAGCTATACACCATAATATGACGTCATATACTTTTTACAAAATTTATGTAATAATAACGTATTTTTATGTATAACAATTTAATTCGTCGCTTACGGCATATTTTTTATGTAAATAAATTAGTGGTGTATAATAAATAAGAAAAAAGTGCAGTGATAACGATTTTTAAGTTAATTCAATTTAATCTTAATGACTGTGACAACTAGAAAGTTAAGAGCTGATTTATAACGATTTAAACTACCAAATATTTTATGATAACAATTATTGTTTCTTTTATCAATGATGATAATAAATTAATCATCAAATTTGATTAAGAGAACCTGGATCGTATGAGGTAACAATATTAAAGAGTTGTTTTTTTAATTTTAATCGTTATTCAAATTATTAAGAATTTTTTTTTTTTTATTGTATTTCAATATTAAATATTTTGTAAATTGTATTGAACGAGTTGTATTTTGATTATTTTTATTGATCTAGTTGTAATATTGTGTTAATTTTTATTTTTAATAAAAAATAACATTTTTTTTTAAAAAAAATAATTAAATATTAAAATTGATTAAGAAAAAAACTTGTTTAAATTGACATGTTATTCGTAATGACGTGGGTATGTATCACTTAAAATATTTTTTGATGGCGTTTAAAGTATTTTTTTTAGTAAATTACCTAAAAGATAAAAGTACGAGTAATCAAATTATAATGTGGTAAACGCTAAAAATATAATTTAGACACTTACAAAAGAATTAAAAAAATAATATATCACTATAAAATTTAATTTATCTTAAAGATTAATATAATTGGTATATGAGAAAAAAAAATGTAAGGACTATCTATAAAACTACAAAAGTTATACTATTTTGAAAATAAAAATAAAGACAAAATAGTTTTTGGGTTCCTCTGAAAAGTAAGAAATGTGTCACCAAAAAGCTTTTTAACCGACGATATGTTAATTTGCTGACGCATCAATCGATTCTTCTTGTCTGAGGTCGCACTTACATTAGATCCGTATTTCTTCAGATCCTATCCAGCCATCGGTATCCGATGACATCCAACATGAATACCTACATTGGTTCCGACGTGATCCGTTTAACTAACTACAGTCTGTAAAGTCAGTTTTAATGAAAACGTGATAGTGACATAATTGATTCTTATGATTTCTTTATGCTGGTTTTTGCTGGGGTTAACATTTTAAAGAGACATTGAATAAAGACATCAGTTAATTAATTCAATTTAGATCGACCTAGAGGAGAATTTTTCACAACTTGCGTACCTATTCGTAATTACCCAAATAAGTTCAAGGAATACCACAGTATAAGTATTGAAGCCTTAGACTAATTTCTAGAAGGAATAAATAATGACATAACTATTCAATCCAACTTCAGAGTATGTGTCAGCTCAGTCAAGTTTACCTTTTACCAGTGACGCAACGGATTTAAAACGTCGAATTGCAAACATGTTTGATCAGATGTTAAATCGGATAGTATTGGGAGGCCTCAAGAATCTTTAAATTAGAATCTTCTTTTCAACAATTGAAATATTTTTGAATTATTTCAATTATTATAGGCCTTTACATTATGATTCAGTCGTTAGTTTTTCTTCCGACATCGTTCGACCGTCGGACGACGTCAAAGTAGATCGGATTGAATGGGGAGAAATACGGATCTAATGCTTGTTACACACTATATGAGTTGATCGGTCCGATCATCATTTTGTTGATCAGGACCTGATATTACAGCTAACCTGACCAATTTATCCTGTTGATTTGACTTAATCATATAGTGTGTAGAAAACTTAACATAATGTAGACTTAACCTATATCGTGGTACCGCTCTTTAATAATATTATTATAATATTCATTATAATTAATATGTGCTGACTGATATTTGTTATTATTGAAACGTGTGGGATACACGGTAATCTCCTATTGTTTATAGTTGGATTTTCCTGCACAACATACAGACAAATTGATTTAATTTCTCTGAAATCGTTCCGTCCGTTATAGCAATTTTCGCGTTTCATAGTCATTATTTCAGGTCCCGATATTTATCTGCCGTCCGTATAAAGAAGTCGGAAATAATATTATTATATTGTTTTTGTGCCTGTGTTTCGACTTTCACTACTGTTAAATAGCGTGTAAAATATTAAAATTTTGGCGCTCGCCATCAAAGTCTAGAATCTATCATATTTTCAGTAAATGTGGACTATAATTTTACTACTCTTATGCGCTCCATGATGTGTTCACTGTGTTCATTTATTTTTTGCCAAATTCAAATAGCATTTAATCAATCGGATAGGGCGTTTGAAACTACTATGTAATAAACGTATACTGTTTCTTGCATAGTTCAATCATTATCTACTCTTAGTCGAAAGTCGTTCGCTGACGTGTTACCCATTTAGTTATAATTTGGTTTAATACAAGTACAACGTATTTACGTATGGAATGTATATTATAATATAGATACACATTATTTAAATCTCGCTGTTTACATCACACGCATTATTATTAGAAGTGTGAAATTGTTTTTAGATATGTTTATTATACATCGTACTGCACTAAATTATATGATTATTGTAATGTACTTGTAATTGAAATATTCTCTTTGAACTTAAATTTTTAAAAAAATTTTCTACTTTCGACGTCAATTAAACAGGTAAATTAAACCAAATTCAATCATCCATTAAAACTGTTATTTGAAATACATTAAATGAATAAATATGTATAATTTTCGAGTATCACAAGTCTAAATATCTCCGTGTTGAAAAAAAACCTATTCATTTTAGTTGCATTATTATATTTGGTCTATGAAGTCTGATTTCCGATCTAGATAATATTTAAAGTTCAAAATACTAGAAAATTAAAACAATTTTAAAACGTTTTTAATATAGCCATCAATTCATGATATTTATGTTAAGTGTATAAATAAATACTAGTTTTGAAAGTTTGGAAATTTAACGATAACAAAAAAGAAAAAATTCCTGTAGGTCAATCACGTCGTTGCAAAAGATTATTAGTCGCACAAACTACGCCGCGTATGTTGTATAATCATTCAAGAATACTTAAATTGTTTCGCGCACTATATATGTATCAGAAACTGGGGTTTTTGATACAATATCATTTTATTACGATTTTTTTATTATTGTCTTTTTTTTTATTGTGCATACGATGTGTGACCGTTGAGCAATATTTCTCAGTACAAAACCCGAACGATCTACCGTCGTGTCTCGTGACTTAAAATCAGAACGCGCGTGGGTGTATATAGTTAACAATACGTACAACGTAATAATATCTACGCGTGAGTTTCATACGCCTGCAGGTGCCTATATTATAATAGCTTCGAAAACGACTGCGATGCTTACACGTTAGTATATTATTTTAAGCCCAAGATCTGAATTGGTGTGTGTTTAACGGACAAAGCAATGCTATTGTTAGTATGTGTATCTACTACTGTTGTGTCATGATGGAACATGCATGTGCTCGAGCAAGATTTGTTGCTGAATTTGTGCTGATATTCATCAGTTTTAACGACTGAAATTGGCTCGAAATTCAGAATATTATCATGCTTCCGTGAATTGCGTGTGCTATGTTGAAAGCCTACGTATCGAAACGTATTTAATGTAAGGGCAGCAGTTTACAGTTTGTTTTAAATTATTATCTTTAATAAAATTTCAAACAATTGAATTACGTTTAAAGTATATATTCGTGTTTATGTCGTTTGATTGTTGGTTTACCACTAATGTCTTTATCCGTTGGAAAACCTGAACGGACGGTGTA